AGACATAAGGTCATTTGATTTAGTGCTACACAGTAATGTATATACTCTGTGTTCAAATGGTTATTGGCTTTAAAGCTGGAATAGAATTAATAGACTACACTGGAATTAACAGTGTGGCGCTCTCTCCTCTGTTGATACTTGAACTCCAGAGTTTCTAAATGCAAACAAAGTCAGACTATAATGTACAGAAAATGAGTAGGCTGGTCATGTCTCCAATACCTTCTCTTCCCACAATTACTCTTTCCAACCTTTTCTCATGTTCCTGCCCTCATCGTCTCAGTCTGGGTTACAAGGAGGTGAGACAGAGGTTTCCTCTCCTATTCGGCCTCATCTCATAGCCTGTTTAAAATCTGCACACATGCACACACAGGCACGAGGAGAATCTGCTATCCTGTCACTGGATAATCACTACTGGCTATGCCGATCAGTCTACACAGTTGTCATGCTGTGACATGTTGCTTTTGGAGAGCAAGAAAGTGAAGAAAAAGTTGAAGAAACTGAAGGACATGCAGAAGGCAAGTGGAGTAAAAAAGCAAGGAAAAATCTGGAAAGAGAAGCAAAAACTGAGAAAAACTAAGAAGAAAATTGGAAACTGAAAAATGATAGGGAAAGGAAAATGCTGAGGAGGAGAGAGGAAAAGAAAGGAGAGGAGGCAATTAGGGATATAAGGAGAGGACAGAAGAAAGGAGAAGAAACACTTGAAGGCAGGGAGAGGAGAAACTTGGGGAGAGCAAAGGAAAGGAAAAGTTGATAGAGGAGAAGAATGACAGGAATTTATGAGGAGAGAAGACAAATGGAAATATTAGGGGGAAATGTCAACAGTAAAAAAAAAGTGAAGGTGACTGGAAAAGGAGTCAAAAGTTCAATAAAGCAAAGACAAGAAAGATAAAAGAAGACAGGAAAAGACATGACATTTAAAAAAAGGCAACAGAGAGGGATGAATAGATGAAATTTGACAGTCTGTGGTCTACCATAGGAATGAGCCAGGGATCAATCAATGACAGAAAAGACCCCCCCTTCACACACACACACACACACACACACACACACACGACTAGGCCGAAGGTGGAGGAATGCTGGCTGGCGTATGAATGAGTAGAGAAGGGGACGAGTGGAACTTTACAGTTGCAAGTGTGTTTCTTGGGGGCCACCACAACGCACACTCAAGGGCCAGCCAAAGGTTTGGAGTAACCTGAGACTTCTGAATGTTCTAAATATAGAAGGATTGATAGGATCAGTGAAAAAGGCCAGCCTGGGGAGTGCGCACACACAGACACACACAGACGCAATCAACCTCCTACGCTCACCGAATTATTTAGCAATGGCAGAGAACAGGGGAAAGCTGCTGACAGCTCAGATCAGCTTGTTACAGCGTTTTTCTAGACAGTCTGAAATGGTTTTCATAAAAGTGTGTTACTATTTTCATCTGCCGCTGAACTAAGAGGACGTACAGTGTAAGAATAGGTTTAATTAATTCTGTGCCATGTGTGCAATTATCTAAAAGTTCAATCAGGTCTATAGGTTGAGTGTTAGACCTACAGAGCGCACTATGATAGCATGTTAAACTCCGTATTTTGTATAAGCTGTGTTTTTCAAACTGCTTAGAGACAAACCATGTTTTCATCTCTTTCTGTGTGTACAGTGTGTGTCTATGCATGTGTGACTGTGACTGTGTGTGTGTGTGTCCTGGGAGAACTCCTATCTGGGCCCCGTCCCAGGACCCTGGAACCTTCCAGGACACCGGGACCCGACCACACAACAAACGGCCCCGTCAGCGTGATTTATCGACCATTCACCACCAGGTCACACACATATTGACTGAAGGCGTGCACACACACACACACACACACTCCAAAGCATCAATGCTCATATACGAGCACATATGAAAGTCAGCATGTCAACACACAAATATGAGTAATTTACCCAAAAGAAAGCGGGTCAGGCATGAAAAGATGCGCTTGGGCAGATGTGTACACACACTAGTTACTTATGAAAGAGCATATGGGGGCGGGAGGAATGGGCTTCTTTTGATATGATAAGAATGGTTACAAAAAACAATGGATGAGAGGCTAAAAGAGAAAAAAATAAAAGAGCAAAGGGGTTGAATAACTCCAAAAGGAGCGATGGAGCCGATTCAGCAAAAGAAAGAGGAAAGAGGAGGGGGAAGGATGAGGAGATAGAGGGAACAAGAAGAGATGGAGAGGATGGAGATGGAGGAAGAAGAAGATGAAGCAAGCAGTGGCAGCAAAATGAGGGAAAGGGCAAGGAGCGGAGGACAGACAGGAAGAGGAGGGGGTTGAAGTAAACACTGATGCTGGATGAATGCAATTTTTTTCTTTTCTCCTTTTCCCCATCTTTCCCCCCTTCCTTCTCCGAGCGAGAGAACAAGAGGCACTGCATCATCCCGACAGGCGGAGAAAGAGAAGAGAGGGAGAGAGAAAGAGGGATTGTGATGGAGGGATAAAAGGCTATCCGTCTCTGTCTGTCACCTCATTCATCGTCCCCTGCTCCGTCCTGCCGGCCCATCCGTCATCTGCTGTCACACACACAGAAAAATACAGACACACACTTTCCAACCATTTTCACACACTCCACGACGACGGCAAACACACACGCATCAAAGATGGGCAGGCAGACACACAAACTTCAACTCCCTCTCTGCCTTGTTTCACAGTCACTGCGATGACACAAAAACGAACACACACACACACACACACACACACACACACACAGTGCTCAGCTTCACACAGGCGCGCGCACACTTTCTACCCACTTTCAGAGCAACAACGACAAACACACAGCAGTCTGAGAGCCACAAAAACTTTCACTCGGGCTCTCCGCCCCGTTTCACACATTCAGTGATGACCGACACACACACTGCGCTTAGTTTCACACATTCATAACGATGACAAACACACACCAAAGTCTCTCCCGAAAGAATACACTCAAAAACGACGATGGCAAACAAGTTCGCTCACACGCACTTGCCTGCCAGACATTTTCTTTTTTTCGCAAAGACAAAATACGACAACACGCACATGCACAAACGCACTCATGCACACACACTCCGCCCAACATCCTGGATTCTCAGTGGAGCCGTCCAGCTTTGACTGGTTCTGCTCTGTTTTTCCCAGGACCCGAAACAAGATGCCCCAACACACAGCTCGGCCACTTCCTGCACTCTGCTGTTTCACAGTATCAGGGCTGAGGACTCAGGTCGGCCCCCGGGGAAACTGGTAAAAAAGGCCCTGAGCTGGTGTCAAGACTTACAGCAAGTGGAGGACAATCTGATGAGTGACTGACAAAATATTTCAGCTCTTAAAGCTAATAAAAGTTAATCAAGGTCTTCAGGAAAGCTACGTTACAGTTCCAGTATGTTGATGATATTGAGTATGAACTCTCTGCTTGATTACATCTGCTGTTTGTGTTAATCACAAGTCAACGTACTGCAAGGAAAAAGGAGCGCTGGTGGTAGAGACACTGTTGGACTTTGCTAGAGTTTTGTCGAGAAAGAAAATATCTATCAATGTTTTTGCTGTTGCTGCTTGCTAATAGATCAACAAATTGTGTAAGACTGTGTAACGGCAAACTTTATTCCATGAAGAAGCAGTTCAACCTGGTTCACAGTGCAAAGGAACGCAAGTCAGGTCTGTGCCTAAATTTTAGCTCTAAGCCCGCAGCTTCAACTGTACCCCTGAATCCATCTTACAATAAAACCGATGTGGAATGGCTTAAATCACTGAGAGGATTTGTTCAAATCCACCCACAAACTACCAATCAAATGTTCGGACACACTTTTCCATTCAATTCAACGGAAAAGTAATCTCCTATAGTTCCTCCTACTGGATTGCACAACATATGGAAATTATACTGGTGGATTACTATAAATCTCACCAAGAGCGGGGGGGAAACAGTCCGACACATTCTCCAATAATCTGTTTAGACAGATCTGAATCCATTGGATTGGTTTGACTGTTGGCATCATGGGAAAATCCATCAAACCATGTGCATTATTTTGATCATCTTTTAAATCCTACATAAATACCGTACATTTGTCATGAACTCTGTTTTTGTATGCAGTTTCTAGGTTCCTCACTTCGACTCACTAGGGCCCTTTTGTATCTTTGAATTTTGAAACTAATTGATAAAGCTCTCCCCAAAAAGAACACAGTTCCCCAGAAGCAACAAAAATTAAAGTTAGGGTGATAACAAATAATCAAAAACCATATTAAACATGGATTCTAATCAAAATGAACTACATAGGAATTAAAACTAAAACAAAAGTTTGACACCCCCTCATCTTTTTTCCCCCCGTCTTTTACTTCTCCTCCCAGGGTGCTGGAGTTGCGGTTTTAAAGGTACTTGCACGATTGCAGTAGGCTACCTCCAGTTTTCACAGAAAGTATACATCTGGTCTGTTTTACTTTGAATGGAGGCGACATTCATGCATCGAAGAAGGATCTAATTATCACAATACACAGAGCTGATGTGCTGTCGTAGTGCCTGTAACTGGGACATGTGCATCCACTTTTGTGTTATTTTGAGCACCTGTGTGTAGCCTAACTACTGTGTGTTGATCTGATGTCAGAACACCCCTTCCAACCCAAAAACAAACAAACAAAAACTTGTGAATAAGGAAAGTACCTGCACTTTTTGCCCCACCTCAGGCACTGGTTTTGGTGGATGAAACAAAGACTGAAAATCTTTGAATTTTAGAAGACATGACAAACAGGGACAGAGAAAAAGGTTGAAAATGAGGGGGACAAAGGAAAGAAGACAATGATGAGAATGACAGACTGATAAAACAGATTGGGGGAAAAAAAAAACAGAAAACCAAATGAAGGAGGAAGACGAGGAGGAGAAAGCATCGAAGGACAAGGACTAGGGGGTGTAAGGGAGGATGGGAGAAAGGATGGGGGGGAGGTAGAAAAAAGATAGTGAAGCAAAGACAAAAAAGAGAAAACGAAGGAGAGAGGACTACGAGGGAGACAAAGACCTACTTGTCTCAAGTCACTGAAGGCCAGAAGCAACGTGTCACCCTGGAAGCCTGCGACCGGGCCGGCTCTGGCAAAACCTGTGGGAAAATACAAACCCGCCCCACCATTCCACCCCCGGAGAGAGGGAAGAGAGGAGGAGGAGGGGAAAAAAGAGGGTGAATAATGGAATAATAAAAGACCTGGTCAGATTCGCTATGCATCAGGATAGATTGGCAGACAAATGACAGCCTGGGGAGGAGGAGGGAGGAAGGGGAGTGAGAGAAGGGGAGGGAAGGGTGTTAGAGTCATGTCGCTGGGTCTTGTTGAAAAGGAGAAAGAGAGTGTGTGGGTGCTAGTGAGCGTGAGAGTTGCTGTGTGTGAATAAGGGAGAGTGTGTGTTTGTGGTTGTGAAGGTTTTGTAGTGTATTTAAATGCAGGCTGTGTTGAATTTGTATGTGGACGCTGGAGATTTTTGAGCATGTTTGCCTTGCTAGATCTAAGCGCATGCTAGTGTTAGTGGGCCTGTGAAGTGTGTGTGTTTGCTGTTTGTACAGGGGGGTCGCTGGCATGTTGAAGAACAGTTGAGAACTGTTGGGTTTTGAACCCAGGGTGACGCCTGTGTGAGTGTGTGCCGGGGTCGTACGGAGTGTGAGCTGGGGTGTTGGCATCAGTTGGCCCCCGTAAACAAGCTGCCTGGCATTCTGAGCAAGGGAACGAGAGAGAAGAGGAGTGCCAAGGAGAGAGAGAGCAAGCCTGTAGCTAATCTCTTTCACCTCAAGACACAGACACAGAAACGCAAGGCCATACACACGGCAGCACTGATTACATGCCTGCCATCCTCAGTGACCCCCATGACACAAACACACACATAGGTCCTGCTCATGAACGGTGAAGCTATGGGCTACACTAACCTTTTATCGTTCTCAAACCCAAACCTTCACTCTTCACCTTTTTTCCTTACTTCCTGTCTGCACATTTCTCCTTCTCTCAGTCTTCATTTCAACACCTTCCCAGCTTAATGAAAAAACAGGTGGTTTGTCATTGCCTACAGAAATTACCCATACATGTATGAGTACCTTCTAATATGGAGCTTGTATTGCCAGTAGGACGTCAATTGTTACTGCCTTTCTTGGATGTTTTAAAAACTAACATCACAGGTTTGGTTCAAAAACAACTTGGCTACATTTTGAGAAATATTGTTGTGATTGGTGAAAGAAACCAAAGCTGACTGTTGGCTAGTTATGGGACACTGACAGCAGCAGGTGTGTTGTACATACAAACAACTCCTGAAGAGGTTGTGCAGTGCTACTAACAACATCACAGTACTCCGACCTTTGCTTCTCATAATCCAAAATTTGTAGAACTCGCCAACAGTCAGCAAAACCTTAAGCTTGTCTGTTTGAACAAAACACTAGTGTTGTAGGTTTTTCTCCTTTTTAGTCTTCCATTTGAGCCGTTTTCATTTATTTGCACCGCTAGCTCATTTTTCTGTTCCCTTTCCCCGCCTTTTCTCATTTCCTTCCTTTATCTTATCGTATTTAGTTAATAGTTAAAAGAGCTGTTTCAGGTTGTCTTGACTCCTTCTCTTCCTCTCTCTTTTGTCACTCATTCCTCATTGATCTTATTAATTTGACCCTTTCTTTTAATCTGTCACAATCCTGAAATTCTTCCTTTTAGCTAATCTCTAATCTCTCCGTCTTGCGCTCTCCCTCACTTCCTCCTCTTTTCAAACTGCCCATTAATTTTCATTTAATCTCTCCTCTCATCCATGCGTTTTACTCTCCTCTCTGCTCTTTTTTTTCTGGTGTATTCTTCTTGTGCTTTTCATTATTTTTTTTTAATTCACACCTCTTTCATTTGATCCCATTTTCCCTGCCATCTTGTCCCTCAACCCCTTTGGTCCCCATCGGCTCTGTTCTTTTCTTATACCATTTTTTTTCCATTTAATCCCTTCTAAATTGGTTTTTTTCCTTCAGCACTCTCCCAACAGCTTCTATTTTACTTCTTGGTAGATCAATAATTTTAACTCTATCTTTCTTTTTCTTACACACCATGTTTTAATGTTACCCTAACATTTTCCACATTACTTATTCCTTGTTGTGCTTTCATACTTACTTGATGCATCCATTTCTCTTTTTTTTTTTACACTGCACTTCTTCACAAAGCCTTGAAGGTTAGAACACAATAACTGTCCTTTATTTCTCCCCTTATGCTCATTTGAATCCCACCATCCCATCCTGTTCTTCTTAAGTCCTTTCCGATTCTCATCTGAGACCTCCGTCTGCCCTGCATAAATAACTCCTAACCCCTCCACAGCACTGCATGCACATCACTGCACATCATGTCACAAATACATAGACCCACAGTGTGTGACCAAAGTTGTGACTCTAAGAACCTTGATCATGTAAAAACCGAGCCAACGACGCCTCACACCCTTTCATTTCTCCCCTTCCTTTATCTCCAAGCGTTCTGCATCTTTAGGTCTCACAAACCCAGCCATGGGGGAAAGAAGAGAGGGATGGGGGAGGGAGAGGAAAGGACAGTGAGGATGGGATCTGAAGGAGAGAAGATGGAATGATGAAGAGGAGAATGAAGGATGAAGAGAGAGGGTGGATAAAGAAAGGAAAGCAATAAAGGAAAGGCTGGGACCAGAAGGGTTGAAGGAGTGAGAAAGAAACAAGAAAAAGAAAGAAAGAAAGATGGAAGGAAAAGAGCGGAAAGAAATGAAGAAAGAAGCGAAGAAAGACGATGTGGGTAAAAACAAGGAGAAGAGAAAAACAATGGAACGAGATGAAAAACCGCAAAAGATTTTTTTGCAAACAGAATATTAAAGACGCTCTCCCTAAAACATGATACTGGTTGTTTCACAGCACCCCCTGTGCTTTCAAATGCAAACTGCACACATGGCACTTCTCCAAGTAGCACTCCAACTGTGTTTGTTATACGAGTTTAGCTTGCTTAATTTCATTTTATCTGAAAATTAAGAGAGAAGATGAGACAATTTTTGTACTTTATGTGAGTGTAGGAATAAAGAAAGGAACGTAGGACAAAAAGTGGACAAAGTAAAAAAGGAAAGGAGCAAAGAAGACATCTGTCAGAGGTAATGGGTGGGCAAGAAAGAAACAAAGGAAGAGGAGGAAAAGGAAAAGTGAAGGAGAAAATGAGCAACAAAAGGTGATTTAGTCAAAACAGAAGGTAATGAATGGATGAAGGCTGGGGTGACAATATTTATATATATTAAAGACAAGAATATACAACAAACATGAGTACACACCAGGTCAAGTAATTACATTCCCTGTAAAATGATTTTATTAGCCAAAGCACAAGAAGATTGAAACGGATTCATTCGAATAGCAGAAATGTTTGAGTAAACTTTAATAAAAGATCCATATGCAAGAAGCAACTGCAACAAAAGTCAGTTCAACCTTCATTAGTTAGACTCCATTAATCTATTTATCAATACTTTGTATATCCACCTTTATTTTTGATGGCAGATTCGTTCTTACTGGACATGAATGATGCCAGTCAGGACAAACCAGTGGAGAGATGTTCTTTACAGATACTCTTTGCTGGTGGGGTTTTGTTTCTCTACCTTTGGCTTTAAAACACTCCAGAGATATTCTGTAGGATTCAGTTTATAGTTTTCTTCCCCCCCACCCAAAACCTCTTGTATGGTGTTTGCAGTATCTTTGGGATCACTGTCATGTTAGAAAATTCAGCACACTTCATCTCCATGTTCTACGGTCGATACTGTGCAGTCACTGTAGCCCAAGATCAAATTATTTACACTATTCATTTAAGATTTTAGTGTTATTACACAGGGGTGTACTCTGTTTTGTTGCATACTAGGAAGATAAAAAACACCAATAAATGGATAAAAACTAAATATTGACACTCACTCTCGCACTCCTTGACATCAGCGTGAAACTGGTGTAGCGCTCCAATGGAAATCTGTCTGATATCAGGGTCAAGCAGGAGCTGCATCAGGGAGGTGGAGATGTGTTTACAGGCTGACATGCAGGCCGTCTGGGCCACGTTACCCTGAGAGACAGAGAGAGGGAGAAAGCACGTGAGAGAGAAAAAAAAAGATGGCATCTCTGTACTGTCTTTCTTCTCTGCACGTCTTTCTTGACACGTCTGTCAATCAGGACCTCCCTGAAAAACCAGGACACTTCATGCCAACTGCCTAGTTTTTCTTCTACAACCTGGAATCTGAAAAAGATGGGATGATATATAAAATGAAAATTAAAATTGAAAATAGTGATTTGTAAATCAACCATGTCCTGTATTACATTGAAAACAATACAGCAGCACACTCATTCAGATTTGGGGTTGTACTTAATTTTGCAGCCAGAAATGTTACCTACATCACTTTCTGTGCATAAAAGTATGTTTTAAGCTACGGAAAGCAGCAAATCAGATATTAATTATAATTATTAGACATATGACAAAAAAAAAATAATTGAGAAAATCATGCATAGCCTCCATCATAAAATCATGGATCAGGTTTAATCCTAAAAAAACCTATATTTTGCTTAAAACACCCACAAAGGCTTTCTAAAACGTGAAAAACAAAAAATGAATTATACAGTTTTGAATTGGAGTTTCCGAATGTTCCAAACAGAGATGCAAGTGCAGATACAATCACACACACACACAAACATTTACACAAGGGCATTGGCAAATCTGAATGAGTTCAGGTGCACTTTATCACAAAGGTTATGTGTGTGTACACATAGCGAGTGTAAAATTATGCTGCATTCAGGTGCAGTCAGAATGATGAAGTAACATAAGAATAAAAGCAACGAAAGAGGAAGATCATGACAAGTGCAGCAAGGGAGAGAGGAAAAAACCAAAGCAAGGGTGACAGTGAAGAAATCCTGTATTCAATTGACACAGTGCTAACTTGTTATGCAGAAAAAACAAATGAGCTTTCTCACAATCACAAAAAAACAAACCCTCTTAAAAGTCATCTTCATATCCACAACTTCTGCCTCTTTGTATGAGCTAAGGAGCAAAAGGAGGAAAGAAAGGGCATGTTCTATTGACCAGCCTGATCGTCCACATCCAGGTGGTTAACAACCAGACCTTTCAGTCCAGCCCTGCATATTTAATTACCTTCATTAATCACACCAGACATGCATGTAAACATCCACAAGGGGGAAAATATACACACAATCAGACAAACACATATAATTCTGTAATTATGCTTAATGTTTAGTTTTAAGTGTTGGAGTGAAACAGTTATAATCATATAATTATAAAGTCTGCTTATACAGCTCCGATCACACGTGATTCTGTTTCTATATGTTATTTTATGTTTTTAAATGTTGCTGTCATTCACAGTGAATATATTAACAGGATTCTCCCACAAATCTGTGCACTTGTACAAGTTGCAATGTGTGTGTTTTTTTTAAATGATGCATCTATAAAAACCTGAAGGTCAAACAGCTTTATGTCCAGGTCAGGTTAGGATTAAAATGGCAATAATAGTAATAATAGCAATAGTTAAATGCTATAATTTCAATAGAATCACTGCTATCTGTGGATTCATTTACAGCTGAATCGGCACAAACTGGGGACCTATAACATGAATTAGCACAGTGCTCATAGCATGCTGTATTTATAGACCTGAACTCTGAAGCTATGAAGGGCCAGAGCCTAAAATGCTACTGTAGCTTGACAGCTGTTTTTATCTTCAACTTTTATTATAAATAGCTGAATTGAAATGTTTCCTATGAAGCCATATTTATATTATTACAGCTGCATAAGCATAGTTATAACTTTTTATCTTAACACGCTCTTCTGTCCTGACTTGCTAATGTCATTCTATAGTGGGAGGAAAACCAACAGCTAATGCAAATAAATGAATGAACGAACACTGAATGAAACACTAATATAACAAACGAATGTTTGTGACGTGACCCAGTTGTAAGAATTCTGAGAAATTATCAAAGCTTTTCTGTTCCAGGAAGATTGCTCAGTAATTTATTCTGAAGCATCTCTTGGAAACTTAAGTTTAAAACACACATTAGACACATTAGTTAAAACTTTTGGCTTTCATTATTAAAATAAATTTTGTGACAATTTAATTTCCTCTGTTTATTCTCCAGGCAGCAGCTCAACTCGCTGCCACAGTAATTAGCCGCTTTCCACTCAGAGAGCCATAAAATTCATCTTATATAACGAAGCTAACAGTGGCAGAAAGATCCCACTGTAGTTGTGTGAGTTTCCGCACACCTAAAATCAGCCCGGATATCCTCCAATAAGATGCACATGCACACAGAAACCCAGGGGTCAGTTATTATGGGGTGAGATTGAGCATGAAATGGGCTAATTCTATTTACATGTCCTGAACTTGGGCTTAGTGACACACATACAAGCACACATGTAGGTCTGTCTGACAAAAATGGTGTTGTTTTAGTGTTCAGTACAGACAACTGGGAACGATTAGCCTGAGGCGAACTGAAGGGAGGAAGGAACTAAAGGGAAGATGCAAGAAGAAAAGAAAGGTGAGGAAAGGAATAGAAACAAAGGCTGAGGAAAGCTGAAGAAAGCAAAGGAAAGCGGATGATGTTTAGAAAAGGAAAGGTGAGAAAAAGAAAAGGGGAACAAAGCATAAAAAGGACGAGGAAAGAAAGGAAGAAAGGAATAAGATGAAAAAAGAAGGTAAGGAAAAGAGAATAGTTGAAGGAAGGAAAGGTGATAATGGGAAACGTGTCAAAAGGAAATGACAGAGAACGCAAGGAAAATAAAGTTTAGGATAGAAAAGCTAAAAAAGGAAAGTCAGGAAAGGAAGGAAAAGGTGAGCATTAGCAAGGAAAAGACTGAGTTCAGAAAAGGAAACCAAAGGTAAGGAAAGTTGGGCAAAAGAAAAGCAAAGAATAGAAGGGTGAGGAAAAAGAACAAAGGATGCAGCACCAAGTGAAGCTTCTTTTCTATCCTGGCCCCTCCAAACCTCCAACCTCACCACCCCTTGCTCCATCTCTCCTTGCAGCTAACAAGAAACATTCATCAAAGAGCTCATTAAAAGCTACTCAGCTCTTAACGGCTGAACAAACAGATAGAAAGCAGGCGAGGTGAGGGGAAAGGATAGGGATGAGACTGGTGGGCTCAGGCGGCAAAATGGGTCCAAAGGAGGGGGTGGGGTGAATAATCGTGAGAGATGAATGAAAGGGGGAAGAGAAAGGAAAGGGAGGAGTAATGAAAGGAATGCAGACAGATGACAAGGACAGTTGTACACCTCTCCTTCTCTCTAAACATTCAAGAGTTGGAAGTGGACAGTTTGACATATTTAAATCTGTAATAATCAGTCTTTCAACACTGAATCAAATGACTACATGTAATGTGAAAGCAGTCTCATAAATCTGGTTTTATGACAACTTTAGTGACTAACTGGTGGAGAAAGGTGAACACTTAGCGACTAAAGTCAATTTTTCTCAGTGGATGGTGGAGACTAAACCAAAGATAAAATATTAAACTTAAATACATTAGGTGGACAAAAACACTCAACTCCAAATGAATGCTATAATAAGGGAATTGATGGCCACACAGGTTTAACTATGCGGGGCGATAACATGTCAGGGTTGTAAGTCTTCACACTTTCTTTTTTTCTGTCCTCCACTGGGATGAAATGGATAAGTGCAACTTTAAAAGGCCCCACAAACATATTATTTCTAATCAGAGTTGCACTATTGGCAATGGGGTTCTACACAGACAGGTTCAGCCAAAGTTATAGTAGTTTCAGGTATTTCTAATATGGGATTTCTGGATGTGTAGTTTTAGTCTGTGCTTCTCTCAGAGGAAGTGGCTCAGCAAGAGAGGTGAAGTTACAAATGATTTAGCAAGCAGATTAGCCAGAGTTTTCACTGTTCAACTCTTAATGAGTAATTTTTTTAACCATTTGGTGCTGGGTAGGTAGTGCATAGTATATTTTAGAGGGTCTACCTGATATGGCTGAAAACAATGCAATGACCAAACCTGACCCGGACCCGACAAGCTTATAGTACGTATATAATGTCCGAGCCCGACCTGAGCTCAACACAGTTCAGTTTGTACGGTGTTTTTCCCCTTATCATTAAACGAAGCAGACATTTGAGTGCTCCAGCTGTCTGACCCGAACATACAGTATCTTCTAAACTTATGTCCAAACCCGGCCCAAACCCTTGGGTACAGACGGGTCCCATCAGGCTCAGCAGAGCTTACTAGTTTGGCGTTTTGGAAAATGCACATTTCTATTTTACTCAGAGAGTTGAGCGATAAGTGTGTCTGTGCTTGTGGTTAAAAAGGGATTGTGATCTAATATTTAAATGAATTATATTTCATCTGTGAGTGCTCACAGTACTCTAACAGTCCCAATCAGTTAGCTGTTCTTGTGATTGGCATTGACAATGACAAGTTATTTACATATGCTGTCAATCTGACAAAAGCTGAAAATACTATAATACTATACTCATGCAATCAAATAAACGCATTCATTGAGAGTTCAGTTTAACATACTCTGCAGGAGATATTTCCACATCTAAGGGTGTCTGAGATCATGTTCGCACTCAATTTAAATCATTAACTTCAAACAGAAAGATTCAAAAGTGTGTTGACATATTTGTTATAACAACCATAAATGTGAACAGACTGATGTGCATCTCCACTAAACTGTGTCCCTCCCAGTTTGGACACAGCTTATTCTGAAGTACTCCCAGCTGAATTCAACTTTAGCCTCATAATGCTAGAAGCAGGTTAAGTTAGAAACATAACAGTGCGGTAAGTCGGTGCTTCACAATGCCACATCACACTGATTCACAACTCCTGGAAGGGATTTGACACGGTGAATAATATGCTCTCTGTCCATCCAGAAACCTGTCAGTCGAATGAACAACCAGTCAGGGCAACCAAAAGTCAAGAGGTGGGATCACAGCAAAAAATATGATACTGACGTGCAACACCCCAGAGCTCAGCGCTCCTTTGACTAAATCTGTGACAGAAAATACGAGAGCCACTGAGTATTCAGGGGTGAATCTGAAGAGTTACAGATGCTTAGTCTGATTTACAATCTGGAAAATGGCTGAAAATGGAAATCTACTTACTGTATGTATTTGGGACTTAAATTCACATAATTAACCTCAAAATCACCGTAAAGGGAGAAGCTTCAGATTTACTCTTGTGGAGCAATCACAGATTTCTGTGCTATGGCAGGTGTTTGTTCATGTCACTTAAGAAACACCACAAAAATGAAGTCTGAACTTTGGTTTTGGGTGTGTTTCTGTGAGTGTTCGCTCTTTGAACATTAACCTTGACACATACAAAAAGCCAGTTCAAACAGCTTCATTTCAAGGTCTTAAAACCACACTTGATCTCACAGACACCAGGGTTTCTTTTTGTCTAGTGGAACATGTGATAAATTTTTGAGGGGCTTTTATTTTTCCAGGCCTTATTATAGACTGTGTCCTCCATCATGAAGTGAACACCAGACATGCGCTTGTCTGCTTTGAACAGGATTGGATGATTACATCAAATAAAGGTCTGAAATGGCAACTACTTCAGAGTATGAATGAATGTTTAGAGTTCTCATCATCACCTGCCAAAGCTGCTGGTTCATTAGTTTAAAGGCAAACAAAACTGGTTCGCAATGACAGGAGACTGGTTAGGACTTCCCTCTCTGACTGGGACAAAGATTTGTGCACGGAGACACAAATTCAGGCAACGTGCATCACTCTCTTTTCATCTCACATGCTGGTTGGTAAACTCTATAGTGAGGATTTAAGGTTCAAGTTGAAGGGTCAACAAGGTCAGTCAGGAGTTGGTAAATATCACTTCATTACAACCCACATACTCACCGGTAACGTTGCGTGTTCTACAGGTGTTCCCTGAAGTAAGAAACAAACTTGGAAATTTAGCACTTGGCAAAACATTGAAACTTGTGCGTTATTAATGGGACACATGAAAAGTTGAAAGAAACTGAAGGAGTGCAACATCTGTATGGAAACAAAGCTCCTCAATAAAATTGCTGCAGGGACATTGGCAGCTTTTCCCCCTCAGTATTTACTGCACATGGGTCCCTTGAGATGAAGCTAATCTGGCTTTATCTAGCACTATGTTGCACGTACTGAGGCACCACGAAGAACTGGATACACAGCAGAGAAGTAGCTGCCAAGCCTTCCCAGTGTACAGCTCTGATCAAGGAGCTTATAAGCCATAAAATTGTAAGACTTTGTTCCTGAAATTTTCTTTCCAATCTACACATAATTATTTTCCCTCCTGAGGCCTTGTCATGCCTTCCCTGGTCCGTCTTTGTAGTTGAGCTCCATTCGATTAGGAGTATTTAGCTACGTAACACTAAACTCTGCTGGTATTATTAGCACTTGGACAGGGCAACATTTTCCTCTCTAGTGAGAGCTTGAACGATGAACATGTCAGTGTTCCCATCTTTAAAGTTGTTGAAGAAATGTGAGCCTGCTGAGTTTTCGGAGTACACGTCTGCTTCCAACTAGTTAAATTCATAGCTGTTCAAACAACTGCATGAGCACACACACACACACACGCACACAGCTGCACTGTTGTGAGAATGTTGCTGAGTCACGGTGAGCCTTTACTCCTTTAATAAGACAGGTCAGAGCATGTCTGTGGGTTTTCAGTGTGCTTGGCTTTGTTTAACATCTACAATTTCATTTTTTACAGTCATAAATATTTAAAGTAATCATCTATTCCTGGATTCTTGGTTCCCCCCTACACCCTCCAATCTCTCTCTCTTCCCTCATAGCTTTTCTCTGACCTCAACCCCAGTGAGTGTGCTAGAGCCTCCACAAACTCTGCTCTGTCTACTCCTACTAGCGTTCTGTACAAACATATTGCTATATGTACTACTAGCAGAGACCATGGTAGAAATAGCAGCAGGAGTAAAATGAAAAGAGTGTATTCTTGGTCATATTGACCCTTCTAGTCTACATCCTTCAACAGTATCCAATTCATTTCTGAGTAACTCTACTCTTTTTATTATATGGCTTCTATTTCAGAGGGTCATACTACCCAACTTTTAGATTCACAGCACCTGATCTACTTAGGACGCCCCACACTAAGTGTGTGTTAAAGCATGTGTGAGGGGGTCATATCCGGGGCGTGCGGGGGTGTAGGAAAAGCTTCTTACAAGTGCTGGAAAACACACATCCTGTGTGTGACCTCCTGGCCTTGTGACCTGCCCTGACCAAATCTGTGCGTGCAACCACCTTAAAGCTAAGTGGTGTGCGTGTGTGTGTATGTTTACAGTAGGTTCTATGAGATGAGCTTAAACCTTAGATCGCCCTGCCCTGTGACGCCTCCTAACATGTAGAGAGCCTGCTGTTTGAGCTTATAAAACACACATCAATGCGTACACACACACACACTTTAACACCCGTATGTACTCATGTCTAGATGCAATGGACACAAAACAGACACACACACATACTCCTGGTATGTATATGGTCAATCCACATATACACTGTACACACAAATAAAGCATAGACACCCATACACATACTAGCTCTAGTCAATAAAATAGAAATGTGCGTTTTCCAAAACGCCAAACTAGTGAGTGTAAATCTGTGTGTCGAGCTGCATATGTTTAGGTACTAACAGGCAGGTTGGTGAAGACAGTGAAGGTGCTCTTCAGAAAAGCCATCAGGTCAATTAGATAGTCGCTGGCAGCCAATGTCCCGCCTCCCTGCACCACAGCCACCCAATTGTAATCAGCCAGCTGCAGGAACTGGTCGATCTTGGTGTTCAGACTGGTGTAGATCTCCGCCTCGGCTGCATGACGAGCATCCTGCAAGAAGACACAAATCAGAGAGGCATGTATTTTGTTTGTTTCTAACTATTTTAAATATAATTAAACTGTATTAATAAGTCAAAAAAGGAAGAAGGACATGAAATTAAGGAAATGAGAGAAAAAGAATTAAAAATACAAACTTCGTAAGTTTTACTAAGGAACCGAAAGAGATATAAAGAATAGGTAAAACAAAAACAAAACAGACAAAAAAAGAAAAACACAACTGTGTACAGTAAGTATACCTTAAAGGTGGATGTCCCGTACAGTTTAGTAGCATTTACTGTGTCAGGAGGAACATTGGTGATGTTCGATATGAACTCCTCCAGAAAGTGGCAGCTCTGCTCCAAGTGGGTGGTGTTAATAATCACCTGCACCAACTAGATACACACATCACACAGAGAGGACACTGAGCATCTTTAGGAATGGACCATACAAATATTAAACATCTGCATGCAAATAAAAAGCTGCAGCAGGCAGACTCATGATGAGCTACACCATTTTAGTGGAGAGATTAAAATCTAACACAACCTCAAAGATGAAAGCACAGTGTAATTGTAGGCGTGTTATTTTTGTCAGAGCTGTTGACATCTCTAGGATTTGTAAATTGCATTTTAAATTAAACAAAACTGAAAACATTTAATAGTCCATATTTCTTCTATAGTGAAGTATCAGAACAATGATTTAAGAATTGTACACAAATTTCTCATATACAAAAACAATTTTAAAATCAGTGCAACAAGAACAGATACTGTAACTCAGCAAATCTTTCATGACCACTTAAATCACAGACACATTCATGTTAACCCCCACCACACCCACACCCACACAGACACAGACACACACAGAGTACCTCTGCCAGTCCGACATTCTTCTTCTTAATGGCATACTGCAGACAATGGCTAAGGGTTCTGGTCAACAACAAATTTGTCGACTTGCGGATCATATCGTCTACTTCTGTGGAACTGAGGACACACACCCACACAGAATGGCAGAGAATCAGTGACTGTACCAAAGTCATTTCTTCCACTCCTTGCAGAGCTGCAGCCTCTGAAAGCCGGTAGTGTGAATTTGACTGAACAAAGTGAATTTCTTGGTCACCTAGCCTCCCTTTGGCTCTATAAGAAGTTTAGCATTGTCTTAAATCTAAATCAACTACTAGGGGCTGAGACACACCAAGCCAACATCTTGACTGGAAGCAGATATAAACAGCAGCTGTTTTGAACGAGAGGTGTTTTCTTTATAGCTTATACTTCTAGCTCTTTTTCTTTCCCCTTCTGAATGGCAACTATAGATAATGTCACCTGATGGTAGAGGGAGTTTTTTTCTGTCACCCAGGTGCAGAAAGTGCATGCTAGTCAGCTGTTGGCTGTAGTGTGTCCAGGTGCCACTTTTTTCAACCCGACTGGCCCAGACAAAGCCGAGGTGATGCAGAGGTCGTCGTTCATCGTTGCTAGTTCTTTTACATCGGCTCAGTGTGTCTCTGCAATCAATAAGCAATATAGCCTACCGGTATTTACCTAACCCATTGTCAGCAGACTTTAAATAGTTGTAAAATTACCATTACTGTACAGCCAACAAGGCAGAAAGACAGCCAGCAGACTCTTAAGTCTGAAAAGAGTTCAAATTTCCTATTAAAACAACCATTTGATGGCAGCTGATCAGAACCACTTACAAAATCTTTGACACGCTATTGATTTTGTTATGTTTGAAATGTGGGTGATGTTTGGTGAAAAAACCCAGACAAATTTCTGCACAATTTTGAGAGTCTGGTATGGCTTTTCATGACAGAGCATGTCCCTGGCAAGGAGAAGTGTCCAGATGCCTTTTTTGACAACAGCAAGAGCTTGAACACACAGGCATGAGGGAGATGAAAATTGCCACAAGCCATCAAAATCAATGTCAGGTCACATTTCAAGAAAAAGCAAATGAAGAAAGAAGGTTGCAAATACTCAAAACACTTTGCAGTACAACACACACACACACACACACAAAAAGGTCAGCAGAGGTCAAGCACACACACACACACACAAAAAAAAAGGTCAGCGGAGGTCAAACACACATCATGCAGAGGGAGATCATCACCAGAAACAAAAGCAAATGCTTTCTCCCACTGTGAGATGATAGAGAATCATTTGCATTGGTGTGTATTTTTTGGTGCATTCGATTCCAAGAACCCTGTGGGTAACAAACACATTCCAAGCAAATCAGTAAATTGTCTGTGCCTGGAATTTAACCTAAGCGCGCACACACACACACACACACACACACACACACACACACACAAATCACTTGTTTCCAAGAAAGCAGAAGAATCCTAAAAACGTTCCGACAACTTGGAGCGGGGGGGGACCCTGGAGAAGCAGAAGTGCTGAGTGGACAAAAATAGTGCGTGTGTGCGGAGAGTGGCAAAAAGTCAATGTATTCTAGTGAACTCTGCAAGTGCACACTCGTATACAAATATAGACACATCACTGAATTCCCATCGAGTGTCATGTTTATGCCACCATCAGTCACAATAAACGCACAGTGGTCAGACAAACACATGTATGAACTTATTTAAGTGTGGAGCAGTAAGTGACTGTGCTATAGTGTGGTTTTTACATGTAACAGAAGTCAACTGCGGTCATCAGTTTGCCAGCCAAGTTTGTGTGTGTCTGCTGACATCTGGAAGAGGTGCAGCTTGAATGAGTGTACCTGCTTTTTCTGTGTGCAGTTGCAGTACAGAGATTAATTGACAAAACAAGTGCAAACTGTTCATATCTGTAGTAGCCCTATTTTCAGGCACTGGAGTCTTAGTCATAGTTACTAATTGTGGCGATATCACAATAAAAGCCTGACAATAGAAAATGTTCTTTTATTTCCAGTTTCAAACAGGCTGGCTGAGCCTGCATGCTCGTTTTCAGCAAATTTCAGGATAATTGGGTGACTAATTAGCATCTGTGCGGCAGCTCCAGAAAAAATGAAGCTGCCATTTCTCCCTCCAAATAAATCTAGGAGTTCATCCAGCAAAGTCCTAGCTACAGTATGAGCCTAGTTGTTATAACTCTGGGCTACAGGTGGATGTCTTTTGCAGAAATTTTAATGCCAACATAACTTCCTCTACTGTTCCTAAAGAAATATCACAAAGCTGAGCAGTATTTATCACTGAAGCCCTGCTAAACCAACACTGAGGTCAAGAGGACTAAACATTATTAGATACAAATTAATTACTGAGGGTAATTTGATCACTATTGGCCATCAGTAAAGTAGGCTGATTATTTGCCAACTGACGTTTGGACCTGATTATGGCAATAAATGCAAAGTGAAGGGATCACCAAAGTTGTCCCAATTCATCCTGAGGGGAGCATGAATGTCTCAACCTAGTGTTCCTCCCAGTAGCTGTCAAGATGTTTCACCTAAAACCACAACATTAAGGTGGTTCTGGATTTCCACAGTCTTTAAGATTCATTATCTTTGGACCAGGAGTGTCTACAAAACGTCAGCGCAGTCCACCTATAAGTCTTAGAGACATTACGATCTGGACTAAAGTGCTTTACCAGTCAAGCACCTAGAAAGGCTAAAACTATGTAGAACCACTAACAGAAACACTGCACACACAAAAAGAACACTTGGATGTGAAAAATCAATGACAGGAGAATGAAGTAGTAAAGCAGCACAACATCCGGACCCACACACACACATTTGCATACATCAAGCATACTCTATTTCTGCCAAATCAAAAATGTGAACAGGGGTAAGGTCAGAGGTCAAGGGGATCAATGGCCGCAATCCTGCTACATCGTCTCATCTGCATCCGGACCTGTGCGCCTATATGCATGTGTCTGGAGTGGGCAGGAAGCAGTGCCGTGGTAACCAGATAGCAGGGTGTACACGACCGTAGAAATCAAGCAGAGTCATTACTCTGATGAGAAGAGCGATTAGTGCTGTCTGGTCCGCAGGAAACCAGAGAAGCTGTTACTAGAAAAACATCTGTCCAGGACATTTTGGTAAATTCAGACAGATGATTTTCAGACTCAAACAATTCCACATATTCAAGGGAGTCTGAATTCATGGTAAGTGTTCCTCAAAAAACTCCAAGATAACTGCTACTACAGTTAAGTCATGTTGAATACCACAACAGGTAGCTTGCAGGTCTTGGAGAAAGCTTTATTTACAGCTGCAGCCTGAAACAGTGTTGTAAAGAAAAGATTCATTAAAACTTTACACTTTTAAGGTGTGTTAACATGTTTAGTCTGTCTAACCCAACCATCTGATCATAGCCATAGTCATTAAGAGGCAGAGTGGCGGCAGGTCCCCGTGGAACACTGGTGCATGAATGTGCATATGCCACATTCTGACACAGACATGAGACCAGATTTCATGGATCATGCAAAGCAGGGGACTGCGGATAGAGTGAAGAGTCTCAGGACAAGCTTTAAGCTGGTTGAAATGATTACGCATCCAATGGGTTTACAAAACTTCAAATTTACTTTTGTTTGTTCCTGAAGTACATTTAATAGCACATAGCTTGAGTTGTATGAGTTGTATAAATGAATTTACTAACTGCTGATATATTGATATATTAAAATAATTTTGCTTCAGATTTTGTTCTGAAATCTGTACATTCATATTTAACATAATGCCTTATTATCTCAGTGAAATCCTGAAGCAAATGTGACACATTTATTATTTTGGCCAGTAAAAAATATGATTTTTTTAATCTACCAGCCACCGGCCGGTGAGTGGAAAAGTTGATTTCAAACCCCTGGAGTGTGCTTCTTGGACAGTATTTAGTACTGATCCAGGCTAGTGTTCCCATTTAGAAACGCAGGTGTGACTAAAGTGACCTTATTTCACCAGCTTCACATCCCATCAAATCAAAATAAATGTCTACTGAACACAGACAGAAGTGAATTCAGAAAGACTGATTTTAAGTTTTTGTTCTACCAATCCCTTTCCTTCGATTAGATGACTTTTCTTCCAATTACTCCCTCTCCTGCTCTCTGCCACGGGTAAATGGTCCCTCCCTAGCTCATAGCCCTGCCACACACACACACACAGTCACTGGTACACAAATGTTCAAAGTGCACATCGACAAAAAGCAAGCTCAGGTAGACAACACACTCAAATACTGGGTACAAAATGACCCACACAAACGTTTACTGGAAAAAAAACCCTGCATTGATAAGAGTATAAATACATGAAAATGTTACTTAGTTTAACATTAATAATATGTATCGGAGGGATTCACAGAATGTGTTTTTCTGTAAAATGTGCATGAAAGTGTGTGTTTCTCTGTCAAATCTTTTCTAGTTCAGCAGTTGTGCCTTTAGGTCATGAAATTTTCATATGCAGTTCGTATTTCCAACATGTGTTTATGTACATGTACTTACAGTACATGCGCCCATGTCTCCTTGTATGCTGTTCAGAGTGACTGTTTGTGTGTGTCTGGCTGAGTCCCAGCTTTGTGGGATCCTTCTGGACAGCGGAAGTTATTTCCTGATTGCTTGTCTCCTCAGTAGAAAACTGGATGCATTCTTTTAGTTAATTCTTCCATCAACCATAACCAACAGGCTACACACACAGACTCTGGAGGCTAGCGTTTAATCTCTACCGAACATGGAACAGAAGCTGGACTTAATTTCTGAGTGGTGGTGTGTGTCCCTTGTGCAAGCCAAATTTCATGAGACAAAGGACCCAGGTCTGACCAGAAGAAACCAATGAGCAGTCTGCTCTATATGAAGACATGTGCTAAAATATTTAACAAATTAATGTAACAAACAGGATTTTATCTCCTATTAAAGAAAGCCATGTCACTAAACAAATGAATGAGTGGACTATGCTGAATAAACTGTGTTTTGACTCTGTTCTCCAACTCAGGCTCTTTTCACCGCTGCCGTTTTGTTTTTGAAGGATTACTGTGCATGATCACAAACTTATATTTAAAGCTCCTCTGAATTAAAATGGATTTGTAAACTGGGTTGACAAAGGGAAAAGCACTTCCTTAAACAAGTTTTGTATGCACGTGTACCTGAGATGTAGGTCTTCAGAGTATTTCAGACAGGCATAGATGAACTCTTTGAGCTGGCAGTAGACTTTTGGCACAAACTCAGAGAAGGGAAGCTTCTTGGGGAACGGTAGCTACAAGAAACCCAGAGCAGAAAACAGATTAAGTGAAATGTTCAAATTTTACTTCACCTCCACAATTTGTGCACAGGCAATTACACACATGTCCAGACATCTTCCAAAATTCAAAATGAAGGAAAGATTAAAGGACAAAGGTTCATTTAAAATGGCTGATAGGAGCAACACACAACACTTTCACAATTTTTCCTCTTTAATAGCTTGCTTGTTCATTCTGATGCATCATGACGCTGCTGTTATCTGCTCTCCCTCATCAGCCTGCTGCTCTCTACCTTTTCTAGTTCAGGGTCTTGCAGGGGAAACTGGGAAGTGTAGAGTCTGTACTCCTCTTCTGATGAAACTGGAATTGGACTGTAGTTGTCCTGATCCAACACCTGCCTGAAGAGGAGAAAGAGATAAAGAAAGAAGAAACAAAACAGGTCAACAGGGATGACTGAGACACCACTGGATCCTCTCTCCCTCTCTCACACACAGTTGTCTTTTTATTTGTAAGGACATGGACAAATGCATTATTTAGCCCTTTACCCTAACGTTAACCATCAAAATTAAATGCTTATCTCCAACCTTTAAACTAACCCTAAACCTAAAATTAACCTAAACCAAACGGAGTGTTAACCCTGAAAAAAACCCTTTAAAGTTGATGACCAGCTAAAATGCCCCCAACGATGGCACCAAAAAAAAATGTCTATGTTGGGGGTAATTCTAATGCGTCATACCATCCTCCCTCCTTCCACCACCCCATGTTCTTGTTGGCACTCAAGACCTCGGCCGTTCCAACGTTCCATGGAGAAGCCTTGAACCAGAGAGCGCTCTCTCTTCAACAATACAACAACATTCCTGTGGAGGTGACCAACACCTGTGTGTGTGTGTGTGTGTGTGTGAGAGAGAGAGAGAGAGAGTGTGAGTGTGAGTGTGAGTGTGTGTGTGTGTGTGTGTGTGTGTGTGTGTGTTTGTCCATTCCCATTGGCGTCACTGGACAAAGCAATGGTCAAACAGTGGCATGTATTTCCAAACACACACTCTCCCCCCATCATGTAAGACTACTACCCATTCTGTAGGGTAAAGAATGCTCTGGATATTTGCTTCCAAACACTTCGTCTTGCTGGCTGGTTGAAAAACATCAAAACCATAATGAGGACATTTCCAACAAACCAACACTTGTATGCAAGTGTGTGTGTGTGTGTGTGTGTGTAGTTGTCATACAACCTTGGTGGACCCTTTTGACCTCAAGACTAGAAAGGGGAAGGTGAGTGCAACAAGCTAGCAATCAGAAACATGGCCTCATCTGCTGAAAATCAGAATCATCGCCCAGACGTTACCTCAACTTGATAACAATAGTCACTTTTATCGGCCAAGTACAGTATGTTATGCACAGAAGGAATTTGTCTCCGCTATGGAACCGAGACAGCCACTCTCTCATGCACACCGATGGCGGCGCTGTCCTTGCAAGGCACTGCTCTGGCCATTGGGAGCAAGTTGGGGTTCAGTGTCTTGCCCAAGGACACTTCAACAACATGTGGACTGGGGAGAATGGGAATCAAACCGCTGACCTTCTGGTTGGGGGATGATCGCTCTACCTCCTGAGCCACAGTCGCCCCTTGCACACAGTGTCCCTCTCTGTCACTTTCTGCATTTCCATGCAAACAGTCAAAGCCAGTCACCAATTGTTATTCAGTACCTGAAGGTGATGTTCCATCTCTTGAGCAGGATTTCTCCATACTGCTCCCTCATCTCCAGCAGCATGTCAAACAGCTGTGACACTGGGAAACCAAAACCCTGCAGGAAAGAAAGCCAGAGCCCTCAGTCAGTGTCCAGCTGAACATTGGACATGTACAACTAGATGAACAAGGAGGCAAAGCTGAGGTGTCTTTTAAGAATGACTGAAGTTTTAGTTTTAGCATTCCCTGCACAACACCAAACCTCATATGGACTTTATCAACATTTGGTAATTCAGCTACAGAACTGTATGTACCCTGCAACCGGAAATTCAATATTTATGAGCTTAAGTTACATTTTTGCACAATTCAGTAATACTGCTGCCCTGCAGGACAAAAGGCTGGTCTAAAGGAAAAGCAGCACATAAATAAAAATAAAATATTTCTTCACACAGCAAAATATGTGGGTGGGAAAAAAAAAATCCATCCATCTTTACTTTTAGACAACATTTTAAATCCTCTCTCTCTGTTTTTAAAGACTGATCAAAGAATTTGGGCTTTTTAAAGAACCAAATCCCAATTCCCCCAAAAATGAAGCTGTTAATTTGACAATAACAGGTCCATATTTAAGACCCAGTAACAACATGTCAGTTTGTCCCTCGTTATTCCAGTTCCATTCTTTTATTTGTTTTTTTTTATCATTTGTATGTTCATCTTTATTTTTAATGATGGACTCGATCCCTCTGGTCATGGATGAATGATGAATCAGAGGAGAGATGTTCTGCTGTTCTTCACAGATGATTCCATTCAGCTGCTCTTTGCTGGGGGGAAGTCAGGGAACAGATTTATCCAGGCCACAGTTCTCAATTTTTTCATGCTTTAAAAACTCTGATGTGATGTGTGCAGTGCATTTGAGAGCACGGTCATGTTGGAAAATGTTGCTCCTGCCAAGCCTTTTGAGGCTTTGGGTCATCTTTTCATCCAGTATATGGGGTAGACAAGCTTGCAGTCACAGTGCCATCTATGAATACCATCACCATAGAGCAGCACACTCCTATGATGTCTATACATCCAATGAGGTAGTCCTGGCCAGGTCTATAGCAAACATACTGGGCCAATCTGATCAAAACAAATTGGTTTTGATTTCATCTGAGCAGAGAATGTTCTGCCAATATTTATCAAGCTTCTATTCATCTTTTGTTTGGCAAAGTTCAATCTTGCAGGTTTGTGAGTGATGGTTTTGTTCCTGCACACAGTCTGTAAAGGCTGACTTCATGCAATATCTGATCAATCACTATAACACTAAGTTCCACAGATAGCCCCTTGAGCCTACTGATGCTCTTGCACCCTCTCCCATCTTTAAAAATGTCTCACAATCTGGTCTATTACTTGTTCAGGCAATTCCTTACCATGTGGGGTCATGCTGCATTAGACACAACCAAAACTGTGCTGTTCAGTCTTCGTTTATAACCTTGTTCATGCAAATAGCTCAAACTAAAAATCTCAGGTGCTCTCACTTTTGTTGCACTGAGGTTCATTAGGGGGCCCATATATTCAATGTAGTCTATCAAACCCGTTTGTTTAGAATGCATTATGGGACCACAGTAAAGTATGGATTTAAAATAGCTTCAAAATAAGAGTAATATTCATACAGGGCAAGCTAAGTATAATTTCTCTCAAAAGAAAGTGGTCACAATAACAGAAACATCTTAAATACATTAGTACATTCAGAAATATACATTTCGGGATGACTGTTGAGGTATTTGTAATGCTGGTAATGACATTTCTGGTTTATATGCTGGAGAGGAGAGGAGAGCAGATCAGAGAGTATGAATTCAGCCAGCAGCACCTCATTACCTTAAGTGAATGACTTGTGGGCATTGTACCATCCATTCATCACGTTCCCTCTTGTATTCTCTTACTCATATAGAAATGTTTGCCCCTTCCAGGTTTTTAATCCACATCCTCTATCATTCCCTTCAGCCTCTCCATCCTCTCATCTATCACACTCAATCCCTCCAGGTTAGTTACAAAACAAAACTACAAAACATTCATTGAACAATTTTCATGAGCCTCTGGAGTCAAATGGCTTACTTGGCATATGCTGAGGTAACTGACTGAACGAACGTACAAAAACACCAAAATGGAAAGGGAAAAAGTTCAACTTTTGTGGCAAGCTATATTATGTCATACAGCATAATACTGATCAGGGTTGTAGGGATGAAACACCTTCCTTCCTTCATAGTGTATGATTAACAATGGATTACACACACATACCTGCAGCGTATCAGCGAAAAGGACAATAAGATTTTTCAGATCCAGCACCAGGTCAGGGTCATTGCAGTACGACTGTGGAGACAAAGCACAGAGTGTGCACGTCTTGTGTGGTGCAGCTGCAAGTGTTGAAAAGGCCTTGTCATTGCTGACAGTGAATTGTGTATTTCTGCAAATGTATTTTGTATTAAGTGTGTGTTTCATCTTACTGAGTGTGTCCTCAGAGCGGCGACGATTTTAGACAGTGCCAATTCCCACAGCTCCTCTACATATGCTCGGTTGACCAAACCCTGTGTGGTGTGAAGGATGTGATCCTCCACAACAAAGAACCTGCATATATGGAAGGACAGTGAGAAATCAATAATATGCAGGTGAGAAATACACTTTGCTTTAATGCCTTGAGTTACATGAGAAGATTGATACCACCCTCATATCTGTCAGTTAAATGTGAAGCTAGAGCCAGGAGACAGTTAGCTTAGCATAAAACAGGAGGAAACAGCAGACCAATCGTTGTATGCTACAGTATGCATGCCCACCTCCAAAGTGTTTTTATCTTTCATCAATATGAAATAAAGCATGATTATAGATCTGTGTGGCTAATATCCACTCTCAGATGTTTTAAAAACTTATTTTCATGGGTGGAATCTGACAACTGCCCCAGAAAAGCCATCATAACTCAAGTTTGAATAACACATGTACAAATGACGCATCAGCAAATGGTACATTCATCTAATGAGTGTAAAAAACCTCTGCTGTCTCAGCAACAGGCCGCACTCGTCAATCATATGTTGTACTGCGTTCTTGAAATAACGCCTGAGTGAAATGGATCAAATCGCCCACAAAGGGACTTTGGTTTACATCCACTGACAGCATATCTCAGTCAAACCAATGCCCACTGAGCCGTGCCAAACCACAATGAGCCACACTGTGGTTGATTTTGTGGCCCGACTGTGCATGGTGTATTTCTCTTTGTCATTTGCTGAAAGCTATAAATACATTGGGGTTGAATTTTCACATGATCTTTAACTTGCTTTTGTGACACTCTTTAGTTGTATTTGTTCTTTAAGACCAGCACCCTTTCCATGTTTTTGCCCCAGAGCAATCAAACAGGGAAATATGATTCCCATTCTAAGACACAACTGCATTGCATGGCTTACATTTTACTGTTAGCCAGAAGAGTAATTATGTTCAAGTTGACACGGTTCACCCCTCCCTCCTTTAAACACTGCACCAGATGTCAAACGCTCGGATGTCGCTCAAATGAAATGACATGAGGTGTTGCTAAAATGCTGAATGTTTGCTTTCACTCTTAAGTTCCTCTTTCTCACTCTGTCTTCTGACAGGCTTACAATGTGTGGATGGATGGCTAGATGGAGGATAGATGCACAAAAATAAGACTGGGTGGATGGATGTGGATGTAGAGAGGGATAGATCGGACTGGGTTAGTCCGGAAAAGGTGGACGGGTGAAATGGCAACTGAATGGACAGACAGAAGGGATATTAAACACAAATACTCAGAATATTCACATATGAATAGACAAAGCAACAGATCTGAATTTTGCTGTGAAAGTTTTATCCACTGCCCTAATTTGCCACCAACAACACAACAGGCATCAAACACAATTTAAAGGGCTCAGTCTTTATAGTGGTGACATAACGAGTGTCCATTGTTAAAGGGAAAAAGGCACTCCTTGTGATGTCAAACTTTGTCCTGTAGACATACTGAAGTCACTTGCAAAACATCCTATGCAAAAAGCTACCAATTCCTTTTTGTAAGGCATTTTAAAAATTTCACTTCCTATGCAGTTGAAATCACAAGAAAATGAGGCAATTTCAAGCAGGTAACAACCTATGAACTTACCCAACTATCTGATTGAAGTACCGACTGTATCCTTCCAAAGTTTCATGCTAGGAATAGAAAAAGGGAGAAACAGAGGGAGGGATAAAGAGTCCAACAGCAGAGGAAAACTACTGAGGAATAACAAACAATGACAAAAAAACTCACCCAAGTATGATTAATACTGTATACAGTACAGGTCCATTAAAAGGTACCATGTGGAGTTTTCTCACCCCCAGAAGTTATGTTTACATTCAGTGTTGTTACCAAAACACGCCGTCTCTCTCCTTGAGTGCTAACCTACATGATGAATGCACTTCCTTCCACATAAAACACTTGAAAAGCTTATTTTTCTTTAAAAAGTGAACAGATTGCAGTGTTTTTTTTCCTGGATATCTTAGTGAGTTACAGTCACCTGTAGATCTGCAGAATAGTCTGACATTGGCAGGAATTTGTTCGGTGTCACACATGCTCACACACAAGCGTGTGTGCATGCACAAGCCAAACAAAACGAGGGTCCAGTGACCGAAAAAAAAAAAGCTCCATTGTGCTACTAGAGGTCAAAAACTCCACAGGGTACCTCAAGTTTGATCTTTAAAAAAACACATTAGAAAGACCTAATTTAAAGCTAATTGTTTAGCTGTTCAGATATTAGATTACAGAGTGTGTATGTGCAGGAGAGGGGAACTGTAAGAACAGTTAGTGTGTGGATAAAAAAAGTGCAAACACACACACAGAGCGGTGGTGCAAGGTCATACCATGTTAGAGTGTGGCTGCAGTACGAGGCGAGCCTGTTTCCTCCTCTGCTTTCTGTAGTAGTTCTCAAACACATCACGCAAACCCTAAAACATAAAGTGCAGGTGAGGATGGGTGTCCACCGGCTGTGTGGACATTTTTAATAGCATTACGGTTGTACTTGGAAATGAATTCAAATTCAGTTTTTGGTAATAAAAGTAAGTTGGCGAAATCAATTTCTGACTGAACATCTCAAAAGTGCAGCTGAAGAAGAGTTACAATTTCAAGTACAATTATTTTGGTGTAACATGCAATTTGTTTTTCCAGAGACCATGACAAAACTCACACTGCTCATTATAGATTACTGATTTATGAACACACTGATGATCGATCATTTCTAACAACTCTACATCAACTTACCAATACTATTTTAATACCAAATAAGAATGTTTGGTCTTCTAAACTTATTTTTCTTCTGTTTACTACCTACAGAATCAATAAATCCCCAAATTTTATTTAAAAGTTTAGATTTCACTTTTAGAAAATGTATGGCCTTGAAGGAGTTTTAAAGACTTAAGGACTGGCTAATACCTTTTAAAGGAAAGAAAAAGACAAGCTAAAGCCAGATTGGTTTAAATTCATTTCAGAGTTGCTGTTGAATCTTAAGTCCCACATTTCCATGTAACACATGCTCAGCTGTCAGAAAGACTGCTTAATCTTAATGTGGGTCAATCAGTGAGGCAGCACTTGATAACTGACAATAGCCAAGTAAGCAGCCAAATGTTGAAAGTTGTTTGAGTTTGTTATTCATTTCAGGGGAGGAGGAATTTAATGGAGTATAAAACCAAAGGTTAGAGCTAGTGAATGCAGGAAAAGGTAAGATAAATTGATGTGAGTGAGAGACAGTGTGTATAAATGAGTAAGAGAGACTAAAACTGCTTCCTGTTAGTCTCGGTTGGCGTCGCTGGTCAGACATCAAATCTAAAACCCCCACACAGAAAAACAAAGAATCAGCTTTGTAAACTTGACCACCTCCTTCCATTACACAGAAGCTTTCCCTTTTATCTCTCTCTACTATGTGTATCCCTGACAGAGAGAGTCTTGTGGCCTATCTAAGGACCAGACAAAGACCCACAGTTCTTGGTGAGCTCAGTGATAAGAGCCCAGGACTGCGCAGATAACATGACCTACTGGCCAAACCAACACACACATACGTATCTGCAATGCTGACCACTGGGCTCTGTTTATGACATTATACTGTACTATATCATCTGTGGTGACCACTACCTGTTATCACAATCATACATGGTAGTAAGATAAACGAATACAAACAAACATTTAGTGAATTTAACAAACACACCTGTGTTTTACTAACTCCAACTATGTCTTATCTGATCTCATTGGTCAAGATTATATTGTGGAACAACATTCAGTCTGATGCAGTGAGATGACAAAATTGTGTTCTTTGATTCCCTGTTTGACCTTTAGTTGAACAATATATTTAGCAAGTGAGCAGCATCAATGGCCATGAACTCTTCATTACAAGGTGCTCGCTCTCCTTGACTGTCTGTGTGCGTATGTTACTTCTGCACCATTGTTGTTACTTTCAGGGATATCTGGTAAACAACCGTAAATGGTGAGCTAATTCCTAACACACCTACCAGCAAGGAACATAACACTTATCGGCCACATTAACTCCCAAACCTGCTTTCCATTTCCTCTATACAGTGCCATTAACTCGACTTTGACATTTTCATCTCAGGTCTATATGTCATTTCATTCAATACAAAGTTAACGAAAAGGAGGCAAAGTTCTTCAAGCTGATTAGCTCAGATGCTAACTGGACAATAAGCTCGTGTAGTTTATTAAAAAGTATATATTTGTACCACTGAATCCTGGTTCCTAACTGTCTGCAATCAATCCCTCTTTTGTAGCACAGTTTTTCCCTCCAACAAAGCAGGTTCAATAACAGTTGATGGTACAACACAGCTAATATGTTAATATAGTTTTCTTCATTTAGGGACTCTAAAGCTCTCTGTTCCCTTGAGGGTTGGTAATGACAAAATGGCTATGTTCACCAAAGTTTACAAATCCCTGCAAGAAAATCCACTGACGGCGGATTCCACTGAAACTGATCTACCAGTGAAATGTCACAGTTTTAGATGCTGGTATGACCAGGTCTTAAGCATGTCTGGGGTAGCAAAGCAGCCCAGTGGGTTTCAGCTGTCCTGTTCTGGTGTAGCTCAGAGCTCCCAGTCTGAACAATATGATAAACCAGATTGCTACGTCTTCCCTATACTCAGCTCAGCGTGTTGGGCTTCAGGCTTATGTTTACACTGATCACCGCTCCGTCTACCCTTCTCAACGCGCAGCATGCGCGCGAGTTTAACAAAGAAGCATTGTTTGGGGCCCGACTACAGCTGGAAAATCGAGGACTTTAAACATGGAAAAAAGGAGGAGAGATGGAGAAGAAAGAATGGATGTGGAGAAAGTGGAGCTCTTGATTGCAAATGGGATTCCACATCCAGGTCTGCTACAAAAATAAATCCAACTAACATTTGTGTGCTCTTTAATTAATGGCTGACTCTGTGTGTGTGCGTGTACGTTTGTGATTTTCCAGTCGAGCCCCCTGCCAGGCACAGCAAACAGTGCTGGACATTCTTATTATTTTCTAGTGGTAAATCAGTTTCTCTGCCCAATGACCTGTCACTCAAACTGCTTTAATGGATAAAACAGCTTCTGTCTGTGTAGCCTGTATATGTGTCTGTGTTTAGTTGTGATGGTTAAGGCTCGAGAAATGGGCTAGGGAATGCATTACATCCAACACAGGGCTGTCTGTGTACCTAATATTTGGAGCGCCTTCACAACTACAGAAGGACAAGCCTGTGTGAGATCAGTGTATGAGACCTTGTGTCCTTTTCCCAAAAACAGCTTACACACAGTGGCAGTGTATGTGTGGGAGAGGTATGCCGGTGAACAAGCGAGTGAGGCTGACCTCAGAGGTGAAGAGGTCACGCCTTTCAACACCTTCCTGAGAGAAAACACTCCTTTTCCTTCTCCTCCATCTCTTTCTCTTTCTATTGACCTATCCTCGCTCATTACTCCTCCCACTAATGCCTGTAGTTATCCCTCTCTCTGCTGTGTTTTCATCCTCATCTTCCTGTTTTTGCTTCCCTCCTCTTCTTGACTCCTTATCGCTCTTTAGCTGGTTCACTCTCCTCACTCCTTCCTTTATATGCCACCATATCACCACTGCTGACCATCACCCTCTCTCATCACTACTACTTTCTTCTCTCCTCCCAGTCATCCCTGTTTACTTTGCACTTTCTACTCCCCTTTTTCTGCCTGTTCAGGTTTCAGGCATCTGTTGGTTACAATTAGTTTCTCTACTACAGTCAGGTCCATAAGTATTTGGACAGATCTGATACAGTTTTCAGAACTTTGCCTTTGTACACCACCACAATGAATTTGAAATGAAGAAGTCAAAATGTTCTTGAAGTGTAAACTTCCAGCTATAATTCAAGGGGTTAAAATAATATTGCATTGACCATTTAGCAGTTACAGCTATTTTTATAGAGTCTCCCTTTTTCAGAGACATTGTGTAAAGTGTCTCAGCTAATGCATGACACCAGCTTCAGGCCTCTGTGGAAGAATAGTAGTAGTAGATCACAGCATTGTTTTCAGCATTCACTTCATCAGCTTTATAGTTGAAATTGCTACAACGTCACTTTTATGGTCTAAGGACTTATCTGCCAAAAGTAAATGTCAAATGTTGGCGCCCCCTCCCAATTTCAGTACCATATATAAAAAAGCCAAGAATAAATTCTCACTTTTTTAGTATTTGGTTTGAAACCAAAAGCCGTCTTAATATTTTTTTGCCTCAGCTTTATTTTCTGCCTCCTCTTTTTCAACCTCCATTCCTTTGTTTCTCACCATGAGATTTCTCTGCTGTCACCCATCTAATTCTTTGAATCCTCTCTCATTCCTTCATCCCCTCTGTTTCTCCATCATTAAACCTCCTTATTTTTCCTGCTCCATCATCTCACTCCGTTTACCCTTTCTCTAACCTCACTCCCTCTTGTTGCACCCTCCCTCCATTGCTCTTTTGCCCATTCACTTTCTCCTTCCTGTCAAAAGTCATGCACTTCCTGTCCCCCTGCCAGAGAGCCCAGACACACAAACACAGAACAGAAACAGCTGACACTCTGGTCACATTGGCCCGGTCACAACCCCAACAGTCCTGCACACGCGCACGTGCACACACACACACACACACACACACACACAGACCCCAAATGTTCAAGTAACCCAGTCATGGCCCAGTCAACACCTCCACCCATGTCGTTTTCGCTCTATGTGAAACGAGACACACATATGCTCTCGTTCTTTCTCTTTCACACACACACACACACACACACACACACACACACACACACACACACACAGGCATCAGCCTGGTTGGAGTGGATCCAGGCTCACGGAGGCCTCCTTCTACAGCATCTACATAAATCTTATGCTAATTTCCCCTTGGGGTTGGACAAAATGACAATATACCATACACCATAAGGTGACAGAACTTTCCCAACTATCACTACTGTAGCTACTACTCCTTTGATATCAGCATCCCTACATTGTTGCTTCGTTAAAATCTTTCAGTGTATACCGCTAATTTGTACTTGACTAAAAACAGACCAACAAAATTAGAACCTGGACCTTGAGCTAAGTATTTTGAACTGGGCCTTCCAGAACATTGTTTTCTTCAGAAGTGGTCAGAGGACATGATAACTAAAAGAGGGTAAAAACAGCACTGAAAGAAATGAATACAGATGAAAATTAAGGACATTTGAGAAAAAAAAAGAGATAAAAAACAAAGGAGAGGAAGAACTCACCAGCACAGTGTAGATATGCAGACAGCGGTAAACTGGCGAAAAATCCACCAGGTCCTGAGCTCCTGGCACCTAGACAGTTAAACAATTTGTATAATCATCTATTATAACCACCATTTTTTTATTTATCCACCATGTTCCTTTATATACTGAAGCAGAAATTGAACATTAAAGCTGGAGTAAGAAAGGAGCATAATGGGGAAAAAAAATAATGCTTATATTTTTTGGGAAATACATAAATATCCCCAAGATTATTCAAAAGATCTTTTTCTCCTTTCATTTCCTTTTAATCTATTTTTATGTACTCACCGTATGCATCAACTCTTTTGTTTGTGTGCATGCCTTGGCAATGTTATTTTTCTATCAAAATGTCATACCACTGAACAAAACCAGACTAAAAAAAGTACAGAGAGAAGGTGGGTGTTGGTGGGAGAAGTTCAGAAATAGTAGACCAAAAGACATTACTTTTCAGAGTAAGTTTTCAACATCACAACTGTAACATATGTCAACTGAACTGAAATTGACAGAGCAACAAATATAAAGAGAGATGAGTAAATCATTCTGCAGCACTTCATTATTGTGTCTGAATGTTTTCTGGCAATGTCACCAACTGTTCACACCTCTTTTTCTTTACATCTATATCTCCATCTACCATTCCTCATTCCACCCCTTCCTCCTTACCCACATCCTCTTTCTTCTGGAAAACAGCACAGTGGTAATTTACCAACACACACAAACAGCAAAAAAGTGCCCTCTTGCCCTCTGGAAAGTTTGCTTTCTGTAAAAATCATTGGGGGAACAGCACAATACCAGCTTTGATGTGACCGCACACGGTCCCGAAACAATGACAACAGACTCCTAATCTTAACGACAGAGGTGGAGGGTGATGAGGTAATGGGAGCAGAAAAGAGGGAGATGAGGGACAGAGACGGAGAAAAAGATGCAATAGGTTTGCATGGTTTAAAGTCAACATTAAAGGCTGAAAATGAATTACAGCAGAAAAATTAGGAAAAAAAGAACAAGTTAGAGAAGTAGTGGAGGGAGAAACCAAAAAGAAAAGGACAGGGAAAGAAATGCTGGCAGAGAAAGATGAAAACTGTGGAAAGACGAAGACAACAAAACAGAAGAAAAACAAAATAAAGAAAGCATGGACAGGAGGAGAGAGACAAATAGAAAAACAAACAGAAGCGAAAGGTTGCGGTGAGGTAAGAAAAGAGGAGGAAAAAGGACAAGAAGAAAGGGTGCAAAGAAAATAGAATACAGAGACACAGGCGTACGACTGTAAATGAAGTCAAGGAGAAGAAAGGGAGAGACCTGGCAGGGGCAAGGCGTGAGGAAACGAGACGATTGTTGTTGTGCCAACTATCGGCGCCAGTGCGGTTGTAACCCTGATGACCGCGGGTCAAGCCTTTGTTTGAACCAAGGTCTTCACATTAAGAAGGTTGAGTCAGGTTTACAGGACATAACTAAGCCGAGGAGATGACAGCGACCTTAAAACATAATGGTAGCACAGGGGTGACAAGTTCACCACTATTCTCTTCATCTTCATTGTACTTTACTTTCCTTGAGTGTGAACAACAAGAGCTACAAAAAGGAACTTTGATCCTGTGAGAGAGGACTTGAAGAGTTCAATGTCACAATGCCCATTCTGTAATGACAAAATTTCCTTAATGCCTGATTTTTATTGCTCACTCTGTAAATACAGTAGGTTACTGATGCACATATCCTGCTCTGAATCGCAAGACAAATTGATGGATAATCTGATAATTTGATATGGTATGTAACTACTTAAAATAAAGCAGTGTCACCTCCTAAAATTCCAAGAACATTTACTCCAAAAGAATGGAGAAAAAATAAAAAATAAATACTAAATTTAGCAGAAAAATGAACTAAACTTTTGAACAAATTATCCCGATGATCCACTTGAGGAGATGGGGTGACGTTTTCGAAGGAAAGGTTTGCATATCTATTCCCAGCAAAAGACACGACCTGTTAAACTGCCTTGAGCAAGACACTGTACCTATTTAGTAAGTGCAGGTCTTCTTGATTCAAAGCATCTAATAAATGTTTTGTGTCTGTCTCTGTTATTGACCTCACTGACTGGATAATGGGATTCTGGCTTCAAATGGTCAAATACTCTACATGTAAAAAGTACAAAGAAGTGACAGTTATTGTTACCCCTCTTTAAACTAGGTCTATAAAAACATGATTTAGGTCTATGTGTAATTTAACTAAAAAGAAAATGGAGATGGGGAACTTGGGTTACTACAAAACTCACAAAGAAAGGTAAGTAGGTGAATGTGTGCATTAGCTAATGTATTGGCTGGTCAAAGGTTAGCTAGAAAACATTAAGCTTAAACTATTAAACTTAGTTTCAAATCAGTTGCACATTTTACTGAGAAGAGTTTCTGATAGCCATGAAAGGCGTGTCTTTTTTATTTAAAAGCTAAAGGTTAGTTTAAAGTTTAGGAATACACTGCTCATAATCAGAGGATGTTTGTGACTGTTTCACTTAAAGACATCATATTCCCATAACATTATCATGTCATCAGAATTTTGTATGACTTTTAATTTGCTTGACTTATACTAGGCACTTGACATGCTAGATTCTCACCACAGTAACTTGGGACTTGCTTGAGACTTGAAGGTTAAAACTTGAAACTTGCTTGTAACTTAATCCCACCTCTGCAGCCCATTTGGTTCTCTGCAACTGCTCTCAGTAGCCTGATGATTCAACAAACATCTGCTAATCAATAAAATTTTTGATTAAAAAAAGTGAGGTGACTCACCTGAAAGTCTTCATTAACAATTAAGAGACATTGAATTTGAATTCAATTTTCAAACAACTCATTATAAAACTATTGCAAACCCTTTAAGCAACTGCACAAGTAAAATTGAGGTATAACACTCCCCCTAAAAGTGAGCTGTGTGTTTAGACACTAAAGTCTGGCTTAGCTGGTTTACATGGGCTATGTGCTGCTATGGGGCTCATATTCACTGATGTCATCCACCAGTCTTCCCAGACCTCACCTGGGATACTGGGCCAACCCAAATAACATCTGACTGGGCAGAAGAATGCACCATTTAGAATGAGGGTGATTTCTAATGGAAAGGAAATTAAAGAGAATAAAAGGAAAACAAAAGAAAAGCAGACAAAGGAACGTGTCAGCTAGGAATGGAAAGACACGCCTAGGGCAAGACGTGACACATGGAAGAGATGAAAGAAGAGAGGACATACATCTGAAATCACTATAGCAGATTATCAGGCCCCAAAGCAGATTCATCCATCCCGCCATTTGGAGGAGAAACCCAACAAAGATGTGGGTTAGGACTGATGCGCCTGGCAAACAATATTTTGCAGTTTGAGGAGTACATGAAGAAAGGGATGGGTTGTTATTCTCTCAGAACTAGCTTGTAAGACATGGTGTCCGATCACATCAGAAATCAAAATTGTTTGTAGCTGTTCTGCATGGCCACAATCAAGCACACAGCGAAAAGCCAGCCATGATAGAGGAAAAGGGGCATATTTTCAGACAGTTGCTCCAGGAAGACATTTGTAGTCGATTGTTCTCACTGAAAATTGAGCAAAGAATGACAAAGAGTTCAGAGTGAATCCTAAATCACCTCTACACATTTGACCAATCACTGATTTTCAAAAATTCCTTTAGTATTTCCAGCTTCCATCAAATGGCATGAAACTATAAAATTAGGAGGACACGTGTGGCTTCAATGCGTTGACATGTTTGCGTGTGTGTGTGTAGTTGTGCATTTCCTCACTTCCTCATCCTCCTCTTCATCCTCCACATCCAGAATGCCAGAGTCCTGTTCTGAAACTGGACTGCCACCATGTGTGTTGCTGTCCGTCCCCACCCCGGCTGCCGCTGCCTCCTTTCTACTGCGACGGCCGGTCATGATTCTTGGCTGTGTGGAGACAGAGCTGTCCAGTGAGCGCTGTACCTGGGCCTGAAACACAACACAGAAACATAAATTAAAAAGCCATACAGATCAAATTCAACCCTTGGAAATAATGTATTTTGGTGGGGGTACTTTCTCTGCTATAAACTGCTTAGTTTCCTTCTACTTCAGTTATGTCCTACACTTCCCAGAACCCTTTTCAAAAGCCACAAAGGAGGAAGACTAACTTTTTGCATTTAACTTTTGGCGCAACTTCAGAGCAAAGCAGTGGACGCTCTTTGATTCCAAGGGTCTAACACCAAAACCAGATGCCTATTGTTTACAGTGATACACTCTGCAACCAAACTCCATTGTAGATAGGCCGATGTCCAAAAAGAGACAGAGAAAAGAAAGAGAAATAAAAATGCAAGGACAATCAAATAGGATGCAAATACACAAACTCTCATAAGTAAACAACATCATAACCCTTATAGGCAGAAGATCAAATAATGGCTCACATGTGACTCCCCCTTTCTGAGTCAGTTCTGGGAAAAGCTTAAAAATTGCACAAAATGTAATGAGGTCACTTGGCTGAGAGCTCTGGGTAAGATGTGTCTTTCCTTATCCTGTGAAAATTCCCATGGAGCATACCTATAAAAGTGATTTACCAAAGTGCTTAAGAATACGCTAGAGGGAAAACAGCAAGACAGGAAAGCTGAAGAGTCAATAAAACCAAAAACAAAGCACATAAAACTAGTGCCGAGGACTTGAAAGCGGAAGCAGGGACAGCTTATATGTCTGATTTAGCCTTCATCTTGTCAAAACCTTAAATTTAGTTTAGCTGTATTAGTGACATTTCTATATAAATTAAGTATCTTAAGTTGAACTTTAATCACAAAATTACAGAAAGGAAAACAAAAAATATGCTGATAATTAGGCAAATTCACACATAAAAATATACAAATGTTTCATTTACAAGTAGATTTATATGTCTTCACACACAGTATACACTTGGGTAATGTAGCTAATAATGCTACGAGCGAAGATTCCCACAAAAAAAGGGTGTGGCAAAGAGAGAAGAAAATATAAATGCAGTACAATTGGAAACATTTTGCGCAGAACAATGTGCACAGCAATATCCGATGCAAACCATGTCCTGTCTATGTCGCTATTTGGGGAAAACAAGTATTATGGGAAATGAAGCATTCTGCTCCCTCTGCAGTAGTGTTGGATTAGCAATGCTAAAAATAAAACAGAAACAGGAAGTTTAGAAAATCATGGAACCTTGTATCCACAACAAAATGAAGAGAGTCTCATTTGTTATGGAGGCAGCCAAAGCAGTGGTGGAAGAAGCACCCTAATTCTTTACTTACATAAAAGTAGCAATACCACAGTATAAAAACACTCAGAAGTAAAATGACCTACATCCATAATGTTACTTAAAAGTAAAAAAGTATCAGCACATAAAGTACTAAAAGTGAAAGTACTCATCATGCAAAATGGCACAGTTCACATTAGTATATACGATATTAGTGGAAAATAATTACTGATGTTTATCACTTTAATGCTACAGCCGCTAAAGGAGGAGCTAGTTTTAAATACTTCACAAAGGCAAGGCAAGTTCATTTATATAGCACACTTTCATATGCAACAGCATTTCAAGTGCTTAACACAATAGCCGTGCACAGTTTGGGCATGACGTTGGTGGTTCAAGCCCAACCATTTGACATTTGTTGCAGGTCTCCTCCATCTGTTTTTTTGGATGCCTTTCTACAACCCACTTAGAAAATAAACACAAACAAATTAGTTAAATGTACTTGAGTAAATGTACTTTGTTATTTTCCACCTCTGCGGCCAAGCATACCTTGGTATCTTTTTCGTAGGAAAGCATCACTTTCACTATGCAAGTAATATAATATATGAATCATATTTTATATGAATAAGTTTTTTTGCAGTTTTTGTAGTCTTTTTAACCAAACAATAATATCTGAATATTAATATGGCAGTTTCTTGGATTTGTTCATCAAACAACTGTTCAGTCTTCAAAATCTGTTCCCACACCAAGTCTCCCTCACAACATGGCAACCATGGGAAAACATTATGGTGGGGGGAGAGACCCGGTCAGTGCACCTTTCCATCCACACCCAGATCCGCAGCAGGTCCTTTAAAAAAAAAAAATGTGTGAATGCCACCACTTCCTTTGCTCGCCGGCGCCAAGTACCTTAGGCGCTAACATCTGTTGATAAGGATGTCAGCAAACACGTCAGAGACTTGAAATGCCTCGATTTCAACTATAAATGACAACAGTAATGAGAAAACCTGGTGTTCATAGGAGGGTGGCTACGCACAAACCCGGAAGAACACAATATCAGTGATGTTTGAAGAATACAATGCCATCTTTGATCTAATGCCCACACATATGTACTTGCATAGAAGACTAATGAGTCATGTAAGACAATAAGTACGAACAAAATCAACGGAAAGTCTCATTCCTCTGAATAGAAGGTTAGGTGGAGGTGAACGGGGTCACAAATGTGCCAAGGTGTGACCTTTCTTGTGAGGAAAGAGGAATAGGTAACAATCTTTAAAAATATTCTCTCACCACTGAATGTTTTCACTAATTCTTCAACAATCGATCAATGTTTCAAGAAAGCCGAATGACAAAAAAACACCAAACAAAAAAAAAAACGAAATGTCAGAAGAGAAACGTCATACAAAAAAAGCAAACGGAAAAGACCTCCAAAACGAGCAATGAAAAGTCTCGTTTCTCAGCGTCACTTGATTCTCTGCATGGCATTCCTTTCTAATTGTTTCAAATGGACATATTCTTTCTTTCTGCATACAAATGAACCCAACTAGACCTCTACAAGAGCAAACCATGAAAGACAGACATAAGAGGAGCGAATGACATGAAAAGCATCCATCCTAAAGCATGCATTGCTGCAGATAAAGACGTCAGCACCTACGTCAACCAATTCCACTTAGCAGTTGAATCTGGTGTACATGTGTCTTGGACATCCACTGGCATCATGTACACATACACACCACCGCTCATTCTTATCCATCACACAGTACCAAGCTCTCTTTTGTTGCATTTCTCTTTAGGGGTGGCATACAGCGTGGCACTTGAAGCTCAAGTGTGGGAATGTGCGTCATCTCTTGTGCAAAACGCTATTTAAAAAAAAAAAAAAAGGTGCAAATGGGAAAAACATTAAGGCAAACAATTTGTACAGGAGGAAGAAAAAGCAGGCAAAGAGAAAATACTAGGAGAGCAGACACAGAAGGTTAAAAGTAAATAGCAATAGTCAGGCACAAGGATCAAAATGACCTGTGTGAAAGTAGGAACAAACTTCAGGGGATGAGGAGCAAAAGTGGAATCAAACTATAATCCATTTAGTACAAAATGACACTAAAGATTTTTAACATTATATGACATTTCACTGTGGCAGCATCTCAAGGTCGTTTCTAGTTCAACATGTGCTGTGCAACTTCGCTGACAAACTTCAAGGTGATTTGAGGCATATGAGCGTAGAAACTGATCTGTTCGTTGACAGGTGGTTTAAACAGGTTCTTTATTGTGGGAAGGTCACAACAATTTGTGAAAAATCAGCATCCATGCCATTTTCTGAGAAGGAAATCTAGGCTTTGCATTGACAGTGTAGACTGAAGCTTTGAGGAACGTCTGAGTGGAAAAAGTGATCACTGCATGAAGAACATCGTTTTCCAAAATGTGCCACCAAAAGATGCATTGATCTGGAGAAACCAAGGTACATCTAACAGCTTGCGCTTGTTTTATCAGAAGTATTTACAAGCTGAGTGTTTTGCATCCATGTATATGATAGATTCCAAACCTCATGAAATGTTTTAATGATTTCTCTGCATCCGGACCGACGTAAAAACCTCTGATTAATAACCCAGGGACGATCTGTACTGCATTATACAGGGACATGTTTCTGTTATTTAGCCTACCCTCATTGATATACATAAGGTACAAGTATGGTATTCACTGCTAGTGAGAATCAACCTGAGCTGTACTTAAAAGTACAGGTGTATTATGTAAAAATGACCATCTGCATTAAATATATACCATAATAAATTACTCTGATAATGACTGGGGGCAAAGACATGACCGGCACATGCCTACAATTGATCACATTTTTGGCAAACGAACCCTGAGCTAGAAATAATGATGTCCAATGGCAATGAACTGTAAAGCGATATTTGGGACACACAGACACACACATACAGAGGGACTGACACAGCAACCCGTAACGGTCTATTTTCGTTTTCCCTGTGATGGTTGAATAGACCAACCCAGCACGTGCCCTCCACCACTCTCGCTGCATGCGCACATACACGCACCCACACATGTGTGTTCAGTAACTAGATACAGGTAATCAATCTTCTTCCACTTCACACGCCCAGAAATCTGCTTCCCATTAGTGTGTGCAAGTGTGTGTGAAAACTACCGAATACACAGCAGACGCTCTGAACCCGTCCTTTGCTAAAAGTGAATTAAAAAAAAAACGAAAAAAAAAAACAGGAGCATGAGATGAAAAGAGAAAAGTAGGTGAATGGAAATATGAGAAGGTAGAAAGAATGGAAGAGAGAGAGAGAGAGACAGATAAAGACAGACATCTGGGGGGGGGGGGGGGGGCGAGATCAGACACGGGGCGG